GTCTCAATGTAATTTGCTTCAATGTCCTTATTAGATTGAATCTTATATTTACTATTATCTCACAAAGTTCTCATTTTTATGTCTTTGTATGTGTCATCTCGGGAAATAATACTGATATTTGATATATTTATTTTGTTAGATTTCTTGTTTCGCTTGCTCTTGTTTTCGGTACGTATTGCATAAAGTCGATACAAGTATAGCAATATCACTAATATGTTCTTGCACGTGAAAAATATAATAAAGTTATCAATTATTTGATAATGGATTATCATTATCAAACGAATTATCAAAAACGGTCCGTCCTGCAAAATATAAAAAAATATATTATATATTTATGTATATAAATGTATTTCTTACATTAAATTAATTTTATGTGTTATAAGAAACAGAAAGAGAGATTTTTTTTAGATTTACTATGATTTATTTTAAGTTATATTCTTTATCATTTTATTTAAAATATTTTGACTATTTCGGAGCAATTTTGAACACTGGTTGTCAAATTAATCGATAAAAAAAAATTTATAAATAAGAAATAAACAGATTATAAAATGAGCTTTTATAATTTTATAGTTTGAACAGTCTCAGTGGTAATATTATTTATTGCTGAAAGTGCTTCATGTATGCTATATATGAATCAGACAATGAATAGTCATACATGAAGTGAGCTTGCGCATACACTATGGCACGGGATGCCACCGTGTCTCCTAAAAAAACGATCGAAAAAATATGTTGATATCTCTGATGTCTTCAAGTAGCCCAGTCAAACTAGATATTTTTTGGCGATAATAAGGAAATAATTGCTGAATAGCTGAATTTTTATATATAGGCTTTTAATAGCGTACTTTTTAACATATCAAAAGTCTCCATGCGTGGGCGCATAGCCGGCTGCGCCATTTTGAAAAAATGTCGGATAAAAACAGTTTTTTTGCTAATATCTCAGAAACTATTCATTATATGGAAATTAACGTTCAGATCTTGTATACGGCTACTTCTACGCTAAAAATAGTTCTTATCAAAATGAAAGGTTATTAAATTCTCTGCATTTTGGTTTTTTGTTTATTTGTATATGGGTAATATTTACGGAGATACAGCTGAAAAACGTTTATTATATGTGTTTCTGAGTACGTTTTTGTAAATAGCTTACTTCTGACTTGTCTGAGGCGAAAAATGTATAGAAATAATGTGAAAGCTTATAAAATTATCTTTAAAATGATTCTTGGTTGAACCTCGTCCGCTAAATAGTT